AAGACAAAGTGGAAACTAAATACAGCTTAAAACTGGCTGCAAGGTAAAACATATTCAGAACATAGATTTAACTGAGAATCCAGGCCGCGATAGGAAAATATATGTTCTTTCACTCTACAGCCATCCTGCCTTTGACATTTTTGTTGAATTAAAGAAACGTTTTCACCAGGATACTCAGGCAGCCTTCTCAGGCTCAAAATGTTTTTCTAGGAGCTTCCAGATCGTGAACACGTGGAGGTTCATGGCGGATGGTGCACCTAGGAAGGGCGTGGAAGCTCCACACCCCTTCCCTATATCTCACCCTATGCATCTCTTCATCTGTGTACTTCATAATCTCCTTTGTAATAAACTGGTAAACCTCCTTGCCTCCCATTTTCTTAGCTGCTTCTGGCTCCACTAGATTTGTAAGGAGAGAATGAAAGAGAAGGAATGGGTAGAGCAGGGCTTCCTGGACTGTCATGGGCTGACAGCAGCAAGTTTGATAAGACTTCGAAGTTCGTAGTCCTTCTCAGCTTTAACATTTCTCATAATGATATTAATAAGTAGGTGATCATGATGATTCAGCTGATTTATAAATTAGCTGGAAAGCAAGAGAAAGGGAATAGACTATGCCTTCATTTATTCAACACCCATTTTGGAGGTGCCTACTACGTTGATATGTATTGTGTTAGATACTGAGATGTAGCAGAGGACGACACAGACATGTACCCTACCGGTGACTGCCGGAAATATAGTCTTGACAACATTAAAAAGAAGAATGCAGAATAATTGACATAAAGAGAAAAAGACAGGAAACCAGAGGAAGACATCATTAGTTAGAAAACCAGGAAATGGATGCAAAGACTGCCCCACTGAGCGAAATGGATGTCTGGACAGGTAGATATTGGCTTTCTCTTCCCTCTACTGCTTTCTCTAGGAGATGCTGCACAGTGAGCGGTAGGTCTGTTTGTGTGGTTTCCCACCGCACTCACTTATCAAACCTCTGTCTTTGGCTATAGCCCCAAATGAGTCACAGAGCTTGTCTCCTACCTGCTCCAGGCCACCTCTACCATTAACTAGTTGACTCTGCTTTTTCTAGAGTGCTCTCCCTGAGAGCACCACCTCCTGCAGCCCGGGAATCAGACAGCTGCTCCATAACACTCATGCAATTCATTGTCCCTCAGTTTCCTCAACTCTCCTTATAGAAAGAAAATTTCTGTTACCTGAGGAAAAAAGTTTTTGTATTCTAATTTTTAATCATAAAAATTATGATAATTTTTATACTCTACCAAATTACCTATCAACATGCCTGGTGCACAGGAGGTGCATAAATAATGTATCTAGAATAAATGAGCAAATGTTCCATAATATAACTACCATTGTTCAATATAAACAATGTTTTACATCATTCAAACATAAAATAATTTGGTTTGGGGCCTCCAAATCACTTAGCAAGATTGAGACTCCAACAGCTGTGTCATATTTATTTGGTAATTTTGTACACATAGCACATGTGTACTAGAGGTGATTTTAGATTTACCAGCAGGACTGTGAGCACAACTACTCACAGTACAAAGAATTTAAGTGGGTGTGGTCACATAGGGGGAATTATAGAAGGTTAGAAACAATTCAGTCTAATTACTATAAAGCAAAAACTTGACAAAGTTAGCTGGTGACTCAAGTTAGCTGCAGATGAAGACATATAAACTTCCTTAACATGTGACAATCCCTTCAAATACCTTTAGAATTCTACTGAGTGTTTCAATGAGTTCTACTCTGGGAGAGTAGTAGTCTTCATGCTATCATGAAAATAAATAGTGCTAATACAATAAGGTTTAAAAAAAATAAGGAAGGTTTAATCTGCACATTGTGAAAGAAAATCAGAAAGAAGTAAATAAAATTTGCCTGAAATTTCTGGTCTTGCTTTTAAATATCCACATCTATTACTAGTTTTCTTTCTTTTTTTTCCCCCCTCCTGATAATAAGATCAATAAAAGAAGATAAGAGTTGATAAGTATGGGCTGATATGGTTCAGGGGAGCCTCATTCTTTTCTCTTGACTGTTGACTTTCCATTGTCTTCTTTGTCTTGCCCAAAAGATAAAGCTACACCAAAATGGACATTGTATATAAGAATAGTGTTAGAGCCTGCTTTACAATAGATGCTGCAGAAAATCTTTTGTTAAATTGTCTTACTGCTACTCCTGGAGTCTCTTTATTGTTAAGATGGGGGTAGCCTTTTAAGGGCAACAATTGTGCCTATTATGTTAAATCTTGTCTGTTTGTTAATGATCAGTGGGGACATCCACATAAGTCCCCTAATGGATGCTGCTTTTCCAATTTTTAGAACAAACTACTGACTCTCATGAATGATTATTATTAATATCATCTTTATTCTAATACTACATTTTAGAATGCTTGAGGGTCAGGGTCTTTCCCCAGTGAAAGACTTCAGCCTAAGCATATACATCTCTGTTAAATTGGAATTGGTGAGTGAGAGCAATGTCACTCATGCATAACTTCATAGGAACTCATGTGTTGAGTAAAAAAGGCAGGCAGGAGGGCAGGAAGGAAGGGAGGAAAGAAGGAAGAGGCAGGTCTGATTTTGTCAAATTTACCACCTTACAAAAGAGAGGCTGACTTACTTTCAGATTTAAGGAAATCTTTCCAAACCATCACAAGGGTATTCAGTAATGATGCTTGGATTTCTCTGATTGCTTAAAAATCGTGGGGTAGGTGGGTGGGTCATTGGAAGGAAAGGAAGGAAGACAGAATTCCACTGACAAAATTGGAGAAATGTGAATGGACAGATGAGAAGGTCCTGAAAGGTAGTATTTAGAGAAGGCAGAATGTGGTGGGGAGAGGGGCAAAGAGCTATATGGGAATTACTTTGTAAGAGGTATTTCACGTAATCTTCAAAAGAACCCTATGAAGTCAATATTATTTTTACTTAATAATTAAGAAAACTAAGTATAGAGATAATAGGTAATTTGTCTCAGACTATAGAACTGGCTAGAAAGAGCTGGAACTTGAACCCAGAGCTGTTTTGCTTCAAAGTCGGTATTCTTTCCACCATGTCGCCATGGTCAGGTTTGGAAGCTGGAGAAAAATTCATATATCATGCTTGAATTTTTATCCTCTAGGAGTAACATCATCCTCAGCAGATGCATGCAAGATTGGGTTCCTGACCGTGGATCATTTTAAGTGGATTTTCATTTCAGTTCCTTTCTCCTTCCTGGTATTCCAGACTCCAGAGACATTCCAAACAACATTTCCAGGCCATAAACACAGCTTTACAAAGTTGTCCCATTCCTTCCCCTATAATATGTATCCCCACACATCCCAGGTAACCTGAGGGAATATACTCCCTAGTGACTACTACTTTTAAAAGTTTTCTACTCCAGTAATATATGTTCTTTAGTTATGCAACAGCCACTTTATGATAAT